CATTTCTCATCCTAATACTTATGTACATGTTTTTCAAGATAAAGTTTACTGCTGTATCAGAATATTCTGATTTAGATGCAATAATAAATAAATCTTGAACAGTAGGTACTTTAATGTATATTTTATTTCGTTAGGGCTAATCCACTCGAGTTTCAGTGATCAGTGTCTTTTGTGCAGTAGTCTATATCTACAAATATTTCCCATGTCATTATTCTAGAATTAATCAGATAATTTCCTTTCAAATTTCTGTGCTTATGCTTTGTTTTGATTACTGAAATACCATCTCTTTTGTATGTCACACTCTGCTTTCTGTTAGCTGTGGCACAAGTCTATCCAATATAATCTACTTTGGATATCTTTACAAAATAGAGTGCTCTGCAAATTATTTTTGGTCTGATGAATCACATGTAAGATGTCTCTGTGGCAGTAACTGTAAAAATTTTTACATCCTCAGTTTAGGCAGAGAACAGTAATTGATCCTGGAAGAGCCAAGATTACAATGTAAATGTGTTCCCATGAAATTGTGTAAGCCAGCACAACTAGATCTTTCAGATGAATTTAATTTTTTTTTAAAGATTTATTTATTTGTACATACAGAACTGGGGTACAGGCCAGAGGCTCAGGGGCGGTGAGAGGCTTCACCAGAGACAGAGTGGGGAGCAGAACAGGCAGATGGACGAAGTACACTGCTGAGGGGAGCAGCGGGCGGGTCAGGAGAGGTCTGCCGCACCATGTGGTCACCTACAGGGCGGACGGGGATCGAACTCATGCGGAAGTGGCTTTAGCTTCTCAGTGCTGTGCTTGAACCCGCTGAGCCACCAGGGAGGGCCCAGATAAATTGAATTTTTAAAAACATAATATTGCTTGGATTTTTCACAATATCGTCAATCTAAGGAAATTAGGGGAAAATAGCTGTTTTTAAAGCCTTTATTTACAGTGTGATCCGACCTGGCTTAAAGTCCTGAGAACACATGAGGAATGTCAGCATCACACGTTATTTGAATCCTGGGTGAGAAATCTCTTCCTGAGAACACATCTCTGAGCTCTTGCCCAGGAGTCGCAAGCTCTGCACAGACAGGTCTTCTGGTGTCTTGCCCCGGGCGCCCCCTTCTCCTTGCACAGGACTGGATGTGACAGGAGCCCTGAGAGTGAGAGCTGTTCTGCTCTGGCCTTCACAGTTGCTCCAGCCTGTACCTGCACTGGCAGCTGCAGAGGTACTCAAGGGCATTTCTCCTGGAAGCGGGAGTTGTGCTGGGGAGCTCTTGGTGTCCAGAGGCCTGTCCCTGGCCCTATTCAATGTCCTTGCTGAGTTAATAGCTCCCCTCTCTGCTGTCCCTACTTGTATAGGGGGTATCCATGACAGATTTTGATGTGAGGTGCTGCTGGGACACACATTTGTCTCCCCTGATCATGGTGGTGAAGGCCAGTAGCAGTGACATGGGCCCCTCTGTCCATGTCCGAGGTCCCCCAACACCTTATGGTGACACCTCTGATGGTGGCACGGTGTCTGAGCAGTTTTCATGTCTCATTTTCTCAAAGTGAACTGTTTGTATAATTTGAGGAAATATCTTTTTTTTTTATTTCCCTTTAACAGATGAAAAAAGCAGGTGGAGAGGTGAAGTAATATGTTTATAATTAAAGGTTAATTAACACTGGAGCTAAGATGAGAAATCAAGCCTTTGTGGTGCAAAGCCCTTAACTGGCTTCCAAGCCTCAGACTGTTCCCAGACCACAGAATTTCAGTTTGTTCACAATATGGATACTTTCCTGTAATTTAGATGCGTGATCACTGTTGTGCATTTTCATGACACAACTTGTTAGCTCACTAAGAATTTCTTCTTAGCTATTTTCTTTTGTGTCTAAAAGCATACTTTAATGTACAGCTATCTCCTGCTAAACTCTCCAGACTATCAGTTACATTTTTGTGCCAGTTCTGTTCCCTAATGGCTCTGCAGACATTGTATAACAGGAAATGGTGGCCCTGTAATTTTTAAAAATGACTTCTTGTGTGTAAGTGCTGTGTTCTTGGTTATTAAATTTTTTTCAGTATTGTGATGGGGAGACATTTGTAAACTTAAACATAGGACGATTAGAAAAATCACTTTGATAAATGTACTTGAAGATCATTTCTTTACTATTTTATACTCTTCATATATACTTTTTTTTTTTTGCTTTCAAAATAAAATTTGTTTACCTCTAGTGCTGGCTATAGTATTAAAAAAATTTGCTGTTGAGAATTTCATATCCATCATCGGGGCAACACTGTGACTTTTGTGCTCATGGGTCCTTTCCTCTAGAAACCTTAAATACAATATTTTATGACTGCATTGGCATAAACCGATGTAAGCCAAGTTGGATTTAGATTATATTCCTTTCTGCTTATTTTGGTCTTTGCATTCATGGTTATCTACCTTATTTTCGGTGACTTTTTTTGATGCATCATGATAATAAGAATTTATCTGTATATTTGTAATATTTTTCTTTATTTTGTCTTTTTCTTTTCATACATCATTAAGTTTTGGACAGTGTTTGATTTCTCCCAGGTGTAGTCTGCACAGTTCTCCCACCACCAAAACACCCGTGACCCATCACCACAGTCTCGTGCTTTTCTTTCCCTGTTTAGATCCCTTTCTCTCCGCCCCCCTGTTCCCCTGTTGGGTGCCTCAGATCTATGGTCAGCATTCAGATTTTGTCTTTTTTTTTTTTTTTAAATCAGAACTTTAGTCATCAGGTTTCTTTTCCAGGCAATTAGTTCTTACATTTAACATACATTTTCCCATCATAAGAAACAGGTAGTATATTAAGACTATATCTCTTAAAGTTAAGAGATAAACTCTTGCATTTTAAAGATTATTAGATGAAAGATGCAAAACAAAACAAAACAAAAACAACAAAAAACCAGAACAGTGAAGACAATGCAGTCTCCTAAAGTAATCATGGGTTCAAGATGTTATGCTTTTGTCCCGTAATGGGTAAGTCAGCCCTGCCAATATTCTATCTCAAAATCGAGGAGTACTAATCTGGATAGAATAAATGTTTCATCCATTAAGAAGGGGAATAAATCTCATCAAAAAGCATTTTTTTTTTGTTGCGTGAATACTCTCATCACAAGGTTTATTTCTCTCCACTTTTCATTAATTGTCCCAAGATTTTCTTCATGACATTTTTTACTTCTGCATTTCTGAGGGTGTAGATTAAAGGGTTCAGCATAGGAGTTACTACGGTGTAAAATACGCTCACAGCTTTGTCAATGGGGAAGGAGATCATGGGTCTTAGGTACAAATATGAACACGGTACAAAGAACAAGATGACCACGGTGATGTGAGAGGCGCAGGTAGACAGGGCTTTGCGCCGCCCCTCAGCACTGTGGTTCCTCAGAGAGTGCAGGATGTAAATGTAGGAAGCAATAAGCATAGAAAAAGTGAGCAGACACATTGAGCCACTGTTGGCAGCAATCAGGGGTCCCAAAGTGTGAGTGTCCGTGCAGGCTAGTTTCAGGAGAGGAATTAAATCACACAGAAAATGGTCAATGACATTGGGGCCACAGAATGGCAACTGGACCATGAACAAAATCTGGACCCCTGCATGAATGAGCCCTAACACCCCTGCCATTGCCACCAGGAAAATACACACAGGTCGGCTCATGATGGTCATGTAGTGCAAGGGCTTGCAGATGGCCACGTAGCGGTCATAGGCCATGATCATTAACAAGATGATCTCAGCTCCAGCAAATAAATGTTCAGCAAAGACCTGAGTCATGCAGCCATTGAAGGATATGGTGTTCTTTTCAGAGATCAAGTCAAAGATCATTTTGGGTGTTATGGAAGTAGAGTAGAAACTGTCTATGATGGACAAATAGGCCAGAAAAAAGTACATTGGACAGCTGAGGGCTGGGCTGATGAAGATGGTGATGGAGATGAGCAAGTTTCCTGTCATTGTGATCAAGTAGGCAATTAAAACCCCAGAAAATAAGAGTCTCTGCAGTTCTGGATTCTGGGTCAGGCCCAGTAGAATGAATTCTGTTACATTGTTCATTGGTTCCATGGATTCAGCTTGTGTTGTTGTCTGGTCCATCTAGAAAGATGACAGTATTTTAAGTGATATTTTAAATTCAATACTGAAAGTATTCAATTTTACCTTCTATTCATGGTCTCCGGGGTTGGTGGAAATTTAACTTCAACTCCTGTCATTTTATAGGTAGTTATATCAATTTAAGAAGGATAAATTGATATTCATTAAGTAGTGACCATATCTTAACACTACAATAAAATAAGTGTTGACTGATGACTGACTTCCAAACTTACTTTCCAGCTTACAAATCTCACAATTGGATTTCTTCTATATTTGGAGATAAATTTCTAATGATATTTAAAATAACCTATATAGTAGTATAGAGATTTATAGATACATAAGTCAATGTTCTTTTAAACTCAGCTGTGTACCAGTTTTGACAGTGCTAAGTCTCATTCTATCCATATCAATTGTGTTCTTGATTTGCATTCTTTTCTTTCAAATGAATGTGCTTATACACACAGAGATAGAACAGCAGATAAAGTTTTTTTTCTCTTCCAAATGTCACGGAATATAACAACCCACTCAGCAGCCATGGATGTTATGTGGGCTCAACATGACTTTCTCAGCTCTTTTGTTCCACAGTGCTACATGTTTACATGCACATGGTACAAATCCCCTATGAAGGTTACTACATTTCTTAAATCAATTTTCTATGCATTTAGGCTTTCATTGTATATATAATAATGCTCTGGACTGAGAGAGCTTTACACATGGGATTAGATGATCAACAAAATTCTCTGACTTTGTTTTTGAAATGTAAGGTCACTTGAAATAATTTAGTTTTCCCTTTTGGCACAAGTTCAATGAATTTAAACTTGTCCATCTTTTAAATAGTATTTTCAATACTAATGTGTGGACATAGTGAATATTACAAGTATGTATTCCTTTTCCTGGATGATTATTATATGTGATACCAAGTGGTAGTGATGCATCTTTGTTCACAGAGTTAAGGAGACTCCCCCTACAACATGGTGGGTCAAAAAGGCTAGGACCCACTTCTCCCTTATAAACCACTATAATATAGTATTTGCTCAGGACCCAGATGTTCACTGGATAGAGTCCCAGGACTTTCCTATGGGTTTACAAGAGTTTGTACATGTTAGTAAATCTCATATGTATTATTCCTCCCCCAACTTTTTAAAAATAACTTTTCCCAATCACTGCTAAAAGACATAACTATGTATTTTCCCTCCAAATCTGTGGAAGTCAGCATCATGGCCTCTCAGTTTCACTAAAAGAAAGGGAGATGGATTTTTTTTAAAGGAATCTCAGTCTCTAAATTATTATTTATGCATGGCCTATAGGTGGTGACCATGAGGCTAGTCATCTTTAATAAATTTAATTCAGCAACTTGAACTTTAATATCATGACATACGAGTCATGAAAAAGGGAGAGAATTTCAAATTACTACCCATAGAAGTATACAGAGTTAATTTATTTAGTGAGGCATAAATAGTATGCACAATGTTTAAAATTTCTCAACAGATAGTATATGTCTGGCCATAGTCCAGATGGTTTTTTTCTATTGCTATTTCATGGGACTGTGTCCAACTTCATTTTTAGAGGAAAGATCTTCAGTGAACACATCTAAATACAGAAACAGTTTCAGTGAAAAGAAATAGATTAAATTAAGTTAACCTACTTAAGATTTGGGGAAAATCTTATTATGTATTACTGACCTGGATCTAGTTGAGCATGGATTGTTCAGCTGGTTGATGGAGTCTTCCTCACTTGCTTCCCGCAGGGCAGGGCAAAGGCTGTCAACTGGACAGACCTTGGGCTAACAGCGGAATCCTAGGATTCGTATTTCTTTAGGTCACATTCCTGGTCTTGGACCTTGTAGTTTATTTTGGTTCCCATGGTTACTTGGATTTTCTCAGAAAATGAACTGCTTTGCTTAGAAAATTTTCATAGCTCTAGGATTTAATTTCTACTCAATTTCATGATTTCTCGTGAAAGTCTAAACGCATTTCAAGATAGATATTTTTCATGCCTCAGTATATTCTGAATCTATTCAGTATTGACTGATTTATGAATCCGTATATTCAATCCAAATTAAAAACGGGTGACAGTACAAGATTCTTCGAATCAGGAGACATTAATTTGTGGAGCTGTAAACTGTAAACATGAATCAAATCTACTTGTTTGGACATTGTTTCCTCAAATCAGTTCTGCCAAATTTTTGTTTCTCAAAGAGACTATGAGAAGTCTGATGGGCGACAGTTCCATTTATTTCCATGTAAGCATCTGACTAACCCACTCTCTGCTTGGCGCATGGTCCCCGAAGCAAGTCTGCAGCTTGTTGAACCATCGCTCTACTGCTACCATTTACTGAAAGGTCTTTGTGTGTAATTCTTTCTTCACTGACTCAGAAGTGTTTAAGTAGACTTTCCGGAAGTACAGGGTTTGGTGATGGGTTGACCCCTCAAGTCCTTAGAGGATTAATAATTGGCATGTTGTAAGCTTTGATGAAGCCAAGGTCTTTCATTTACTCCCACTTGGCACGCTTCATTAGAGGCCAGGTTTGGAAATGCAGTTGAATTTTGGTTAAACACACGACTTTGGCTACTAGTGTGAAACTCAGGTAAAGTTAACTAGGAACATTTGATTGTAGGGCTTGGTTATTCATTTTGATATGGTGCATTTGGTCAAGGATACAGAGGCATAGGTCAGAGTGTAGATACTGGATCTATGACTTCTAAATGGTAGTTACCCTGAGAGTTTATGTGTCAGATTAGCTTGGGAGGCTGTGACATTTTTGTAAGTTAGTGAAGGAGGACATTCAAATGGCAGGGTTCCTAGCTGTCAAAGTTTAATAATTTAAAAGTCATAGACATAGCAACCTCTTCTGCAGTGAGTATCTAGACAACAGGTCCTCATGTTGTATTCAGGCTATTGTAGTCTTTCTCTCTACTCCCCAGGGAGGATTCATGGAGACTTAGAGCTAAGTACTATTGCTTTTATACAGTAATCATTGAGAAGATTGCACTCAGTCAAGCACTTATGTATAAAGACACCCACAAGGCGAGAGAGAAACAAACAAACAAAAAATTCTAGAGAAATGAACTACCGACGACAATCGTCTCTTCCTTAGTTTCTGAGGCAACAAAGACATAAATGAACAGTTCAGAATCACCAATTTTAAGATAAGCCTTTATCTTAAACCAAAATGACACACAGTAGTTCAGAACCTTAAAATGGAAGTTGGGCCTTAAGTTCTTTATCACCTTTATCTTTTGTACCTATTTGCTGCCACATCATTCACTATCTGGCACTCTTCCTTGGTATTTTTTTTTTCTTTTACAGTGATAAATATATGTAATGTGAAATTTACCCCAGAGCTATTTTAAGTGTGTAGTGGCATTAAAGTCATTCATAAAGTTTTCCAAACATCCCCAACAGAGAAGTCTATTCAGGTCCTTTTTAATGGCCACTTTGAAAGTTGGATTATTTTTGCTGTTAAGTTGCATGCGTTCTTTACGTTTTTTGATATGAACCCTCATCAACTATATGCCTGGGGAATATTTTATCCTATCCTCTAGGCTGCCCTTTTACAATTTTTGATGGATTAAAGCTATTTAGTTTGATGCAACCCTATTTTCTATTTTTGTTTTTGTTGCATGGACTTCAGTATTACATCCAAGGTAATACTGAACAGTCCAACAACACAGATATGATCTGCGATATTTTCCCTTAGAACTTTCATTGTTTCAGGTCTTATCTGCAGTCTTTAATCCATTTGCTTAATTGTACACATCAATAAGGTAAGGGTTCAATTCATTCTTTTGCATGTGGTTTTCCCAGTACCATTTATTCAAGAGACTATCTGTGTTGCATACTGTTGACATCTTTGTCAAAGGTCAGTGGCTTATATATCTGAATCTATGTATTTACGTATATACATAGAAATTGTATATTTACATATCCATATATTTACATACCCATATGTAAGATATGGATGAAGATATACACAGAGCCTTATACACAGTATTAGATACACAACACACAGTTCTATCATTCCATTGGTCTGTGTGTCTGTCTTGTTGTGGTTCTACTCTTTTAAAATTACAAAAGCTTTCTAATACAGTTTAAATGCAGGAAGCAAGATAACACCAGAATTTCTTTTTCTTTGCCAAAGTTAATCTACTTGTGATCTTCTGGGGTATCATATGAATTTTAGATTTTTTTCTATTACTGTGCAGATGACATTGAGATATTGATTGAAATAGTATTAAATCTTCAGATTTCATCGAGAAGTATGCACATTTTGATAATATTGAGTCTTACATTCCACGAATGTGGGATGACTTCTTTGTGTCCTTTTAATATTCTTTCATCAGTGTTTTGTAGTTCTCTATATACAAGTCTTTCATTAAATTTATTTTGAAGAATTTTAATGTTTTTTATGATGATAGTGCAATTGTTAATTTTTTGAGAATAGTTTTGTTAGTATATATAGGTGTAACTTGTAACTGGTATATATGTTGATTTTATATCTTGCTCCTTTATTAGTTTATTAGTGCAAACAGTTTCTTTTTTGGGGGGTAGTTGCTTAGCATTCTCTAGGCATAAGTTCATGTCATCTGAAAACAGAGATGTTCACTGCTTCCTCCCAAGTGTGATGATTTCTATCTTTTTTATCTTGCATAATTGCTCTGGCTAGTGTTTCCCGTGCAATGTTGAATAGAATTGGGAAGATTAGGTATCTGTTTTTGTTCTAATTGAGAGGAAAAATGTTCAATTGTTTACTTGATGAGCTGTTGAAGAAAGACATTTTTCAGTTGAGTATGATATAATAATCATTGTGAGTTTGTTACATAGGCCAGTAATTTCCTTCTATTCCTAGTTTGCTGAGTTTTTGTTTTTTCTTCCAACAAGGAATAGGTAGTAAATTTTGTGAGCTGTTTTTTTCTATATCTATTTATTTGATCGTGATTTCTGTTCTTCATTCTGTTACTGTGTTGTGTTACATTTACTGCTTCTGTATGTTGAACTCTCTTTGTATGGATATCCCATTTGATATGTTTTTTTTTTTTT